CTTTCCAAGACTTTTATCATGAAGGGATGTTGAATATTGTCAAATGCTTTCTCAGCATCTAGTGAGATGATCATGTGTTTTTTTTCTTTGAGTTTGTTTATATAGTGGATTACATTGATGGATTTCTGAATATTGAACCATCCCTGCATTCCTGGGATAAAACCTACTTGATCATGATGGATGATTGTTTTGATTGGTCTTGGATTCGGTTTGCTAGAATTTTATTGAGTATTTTTGCATCAATGTTCATAAGGGAGATTGGTCTGAAGTTCTCTTTCTTTGTCGTGTCTTTGTGGGGTTTGGGTATGAGTGTAATTGTAGCTTCATAGAATGAACTTGGTAGTGTTTCTTCTGTTTCTATTTTGTGGAATAGTTTGAAGAGAATTGGTATTAGGTCTTCCTGGAAAGTCTGATAGAATTCAGCACTAAAACCATCTGGTCCTGGGATTTTTTCAGTGGGGAGACTTTTAGTGACTGCTGCTATTTCCCTAGGGGTTATGGGACTATTTAGATGGTTTATCTGCTCCTGGTTTAACTTTGGGACCTGGTATCTGTCTAGGAAATTGTCCATTTCATCCAGGTTTTCCAGTTTTGTTTAGTATAGGCCTTTGTAGTAGGATCTGATGATTTTTTTAATTTCTTCAGTTTCTGTTGTTATGTCTCCTTTTTCAGTTCTGATTTTATTAATTTGGATACTGTCTCTGTGCCCTCTGGTTAATCTGGCTAAGGGTTTATCTATCTTGTTGATTTTCTCAAAGAACCAGCTCCTGGTTTTATTGATATTTTGTATTGTTCTTTCTGTTTCTATTTGGTTGATTTCAGCCCTGAGTTTGATTATTTCCTGCCTTCTACTCCTCCTGGGTGTATTTGCTTCTTTTTGTTCTAGAGCTTTTAGTTGTGCAGTCAAGTTGTTAGTGTGTGCTCTTTCCAGTTTCTTTTTGTAGGCCCTTAGAGCTATGAGTTTTCCTCTTAGCACTGTCTTCATGGAGTCCCACAAGTTTTGGTATGATGTGTCCTTATTTTCTTTGAATTCTAAAAAGTCTTTAATTTCTTTATTTCTTCCTTGACCAAGTCATCATTGAGTAGAGAGTTGTTCAGTTTCCATGTGCACGTGGGTTTTCCATTGGTTTTGTCATTATTAAAGACCAGTCTTAGTCCGTGGTGATCTGATAAGATGCAAGGGATTATTTCAATCTTTTTGTATCTGTAGAGGCCTGTTTTGTGACCAATTATATGGTCTGTTTTGGAGAAGGTACCATGAGATGCTGAGAAAAAGGTATATTCTTTTGTTTTAGGATGAAATATTCTATAGATGTCTGTTAAGTCCATTTGGTTCATAACTTCTGTTAATGTCAAAGTGTCTCGGTTTGGTTTCTGTTTCCATGATCTGTCCATTGTTGAGAGTGGGGTGTTGAAATCCCCCACTATTACTGTGTGAGGTATAATGTGTGTTTTGAGCTTTAGTAAAGTTTCTTTTATGTATGTAGGTGCCCTTGCATTTGGAGCATAGATGTTCAGAATTGAGAGTTCACCTTGGTAGATTTTTCCTTTGATGAGTATGAAGTGTCCTTCCTTATCTTTTTTGATTAATTTTGGATGAAAGTTGATTTTATTTGATATTAGAATGGCTACTCCAGCTTGTTTCTTGGGACCATTGGCTTGGAAAATTGTTTTCCACCTTTTTATTCTGAGGTAGTGTCTGTCTTTGTCACTGAGGTGCGTTTCTTGTATGCAGCAAAATTCTGGGTCTTGTTTGTGTATCCAGTCTGATAGTCTGCGTCTTTTTTTGGGGAATTGAGACCATTGATGTTAAGAGATATTAAGGAAAAATGATTGTGGCTTCCTGTTATTTTTGTTATTAGAGGTAAAGTTATGTTTGTATAGTTATCTTCTTTTGGGGTTGTTGGAAGATTACTTCCTTGCTTTTTCTAGGTTGTAGTTTCCCTCCTTGTGTTGGCGTTTTCCATCAATTATCCTTTGAAGTGCTGGGTTTGTGGGAAGATATTGTGCAAATTTGGTTTTGTCATGGAATATCTTGGTTTCACCATCTATAGTGATTGAGAGTTTTGCTGGGTATAGTAATCTGGGCTGGCAATGGTCTTCTCTTAGGGTCTGTATGATATCAGTCCAGGCTCTTCTGGCTTTTATAGTCTCTGGTGAGAAGTCTGGTGTAATTCTTATAGGTCTGCCTTTATATGTTACTTGACCTTTTTCCCTTACTGCTTTTAGTATTTTTTCTTTGTTTTGTGCATCTGATGTTTTGATTATTATGTGACGGGAGGTATTTCTTTTCTGGTCTAGTCTATTTGGTATTCTGTAGGCTTCTTGTATGTTTATGGGCATCTTGTTCTTTAGGTTAGGGAAGTTCTCCTCAATAATTTTGTTGAAGATATTTACTGTCCCTTTAAGTTGGGAATTTTCATTCTCAACTATACCTATTATCCTTAGGTTTGGTCTTCTCATTGTGTCCTGGATTTCCTGGATGTTTTGAGTTAGGAGTTTTTTGCATTTTGCATTTTCTTTGACAACTGTGTCAATATTTTCCACCGTATCTTCTGCATTTGAGATTCTCTCTTCTATCTCTTGTATTCGGTTGGTGATGCTTGCATCTATGACTTTTGATCTCTTTCTTAGGTTTTCTATTTCCATGGTTGCCTCCCTTTGGGCTTTCTTTATTGTTTCGATTTCCATTTTCAGATCCTGAATGTTTTTGTTTATTTCCTTCTTTGTGTTTTCTTGCATTTCTTTAAGGGTTTTCTGTGATTCCTCTTTAAAGGCTTCTATCTGTTTGCTTGTACTCTCCTGTATTTCTGTAAGGGAGTTACTTAATTCCTTCTTATAATCCTCTATCATCATCATGAGAAGTGATTTTAATTCTAAATCCTGCTTTTCAGGTGTGATGGGGTGTTCAGGGCTTGCTATATTGGGAGAACTGGGTACTGATGATTCCAAGAAACTTTGGTTTCTGTTGCTTATGTTCTTGCGCTTGCCTTTCGCCATCTGGTTAACTCTAGTGTTACCTGCCCTCACTGTGTGAGACTGGAGTCTATATTTCCAGTTATCTTGCTTGTTGCAGAGCTCCTCAGAGTCCAGATGTCTCTGTAGTCTTATGATCCTAATCTCCTTGGTGTCTGCTGCTCTGAGTGCAGTGGCTCCTCAGCTGCTCTGAGTGCAGTGGCTCCTCTAGGATGACTCAGGAGTCAGTATCTCCACAGGACAGGAGCAGACCAACTCTGTGTCTGCCTCAACCCAAAGGACCAGACAGGGGAGGAAGGGAAGTGGAATTCCGGAGGGGCGGGGTTTGGGTAGCTGCTGTGTCCTGACTGTCCCTGGCTCCCAGATGTATCTCTGGGGCTTAGGGAGTGAGATGGAGTTCTTACAGGCTGCTCTGAGTGCAGTGGCTCCTCTAGGATGACTCAGGAGTCAGTATCTCCACAGGACAGGAGCAGACCCAACTCTGTGTCTGCCCCAGCCCAAAGGACCAGGCAGGGGAGGAAGGGAAGTAGAATTCCGGAGGGGCGGGGTTTGGGTAGCTGCTGGGTCCTGAATGTCCCTGGCTCCCAGATGTATCTCTGGGGCTTAGGGAGTGAGATGGAGTTCTTACCGGCTGCTCTGAGTGCAGTGGCTCCTCTAGGATGACTCAGGAATCAGTATCTCCACAGGAGCAGACAAACTCTGTGTCTGCCTCAGCCCAAAGGACCAGGCAGGGGAGCGCAATGAACATTTGTATGTAAAGCTATATAGGCAAGAGGATATACAATGTGACATACTAAAGCTTCCACATCAAAGTGTTTTTGTTTTATTTTTGTTTTGTTTGGAGATTGCGGAGGGGGGGGCAGATCTTGTGGGATGGCTCACACACACTCAGGCCTCTAAAGTCAGCTCCTCTGGACTGCCCAGTCGAGGTGCAGAACCCACTCTCCCAAATGCTGTAGTCTTTAAGGGTTGGGCCAGCTCTCCTGCTCTCATACCCTCAGGGCTGGCTCACCTGTGCCCACACAACCAGGACCAGCTTT